TACCTCTCTCAGCTCTCAATGAGGGGGACGGGTTCCTGTCGCCGCGTCACCTTCATCTCCCGGGAACAGGCGGCGATGGCGACGTCCCCTCCATCACTGACATACCTGTAGGATCGAGTACGTAATTGTTCACTGCAGAAGGTTGGCTGGAGTGTGAGGGCTAAGTGTGATCGCCCTTCGGACCTGGACTCACGTGTTACACCTAGAGAGAGAAAGGAGGGACTGATCAGTTCTCACAGCGGCCTGGACGATACTACACCACTCCCTTGCTGTCTTGTTGAGTGTGAGCCAACTCGGCCCGGCCAGTACTTAGCACTGTGTACGACAACCAAGTCATTACCGGTAACGAGGAGTCGCGCCGCCGATGACTTTGCCACTGCAGCGAGTAGTAGTCTTGGACTACAACAAAATATCTGGTTGTGAGAGGCTACACCGAGGGTGAGAGAGAAAGAAAGCAAGAAAAAAATTAGAGTAATGTCCCGGGTAGAGGCCAGTGGACGGCCATTACTGTAACAACCGGGCATCCTGCAAGGTGGACGTTGGTTACCGGCTTAAACTGTATTCAAGTGTAAAACACGATCATTTACTCGTGCCTTCACCCGTAAACTTGTGCTTGTAAAAATTTGTTATTGGACTAAAACTGGTGGGTAGGTGAAGGTATCTAGTCATTACAGATACCTACTCTGCCTTGGCGGCTTATGAAAACTGGGTTATTAACACGGGCGAGAGAACCCGAGCAAGGTGAACCGGTCGGGTTACTCATCGCATGGCAGCGGAGGCTGTCTTGTGGCCCTGCATATAGTATTGCTATTGTCTCTGATAACTCGTCGCTGCTCCGCCCTTTCATTAGACACAATTTTTCCGGCTCCTCCTCAGTAAAGGTCCTTGGTAATGGCGGAGGAGCTATACACAGCGAATGACAGCCTCGTGATTACGCGCTCATGAAGAAACTTGCTTTACGCCTCGAAAGAAAAATGCTTCTTGTGACTTTAATTGGATCTCTATCTGATCCTCCTTATTAACATAGACGTCTTGACATTGGTGTGCACGATTGTGTGCGCGCCCTCGTGGGGAGGGATAAACAAAACGTGGACATCTGTGCACAAGTGAACCTGCGTCAGAGCAATATCTGAAAGTGATACGATGTTCCACTGAATTTGTATGAAAGATTTCCGAGTAAAAAAAAAAACGACCTTCCTTGCCAGCACAAGACGAGCATATATATTTTTCTGAATGCTCGCTAGCTCGTTTTCATTATTGTTAGTGTTAGTCTAGTCTTTACATTCTAATTACTTCATAATTAGTAAGTCCTGGTAAATGGTCTTGAGAACAATGCATTTTCGTCTTTGCTAAGAGGGATGTGAATGATTATGTTTATACACTTATGTTTACGTAATTGGACAATCATTAAAAAAATCAAATAAACTGAAATTCTCACTATTAAAACTGGAGATTTATACAGTTTCACTCATCCAACTTCTTAGAATAAGTGAGAGAGAGAGAGAGAGAAAGAGAGAGAGAGAGAGAGAGAGAGAGAGAGAGAGAGAGAGAGAGAGAGAGAGAGAGAGAACGAGAGAGAGAACGAGAGAGAGAACGAGAGAGAACGAGAGAGCGAGAGACAGAGAGAGAGAGACAGAGAGAGACAAAGAGAGGACTCTCCCGGCGAAGAAGTTTCCTGCTTTCCATCCATCGAGGGAAAGGGCAAGGACTCATGGCACGTCGGCAGTTTCCTTTCTCCAGAGCACGATTCACCGCCGCCCATGCCCCGCACCCTTCAGCTAACGGCCATACTTCATAAATCACCACAGAAACACACTCGCGCCACCACCTTACGCTGAACTCATGAATCACCTGGATGGTCCATTCATCAGACGTGCTTCAGCCACTGCAGCTTCTCTCATCTCGCATGTCTCTCTGGGGCATTGGTCACACACACATACACACACACACACACACACACACACACACACACACACACACACACACACACACGTACGCACGCACTGCATACACTTGCTTAACAGTTCACAAAAAAAAAATATCTTACGGGTTGTCAGTCGGAATGTAGGTGTGGCTTCCGGAAGGGGGCGGGGCACGGGCGACCCCACCAATAGGCGGCAAGGGACTCCTGGGTGTGGACAGAGTGCCTAGGGTTCCGGAAATATTCAGGATTTCTCCCTTTTCTCCCTTGACGAATCTGATTTAGACTGATAACGTGGAACGAACTGACGTCACTAAAGAGAACCTCTTCGGCCGCCTCGGATCTTCTGCTCTCACTCCGATACCTGTTTCTTTTCTTCTTCCTACTTCCCCATTTATTGCTCATTCTCTCATGCCTTGATCTTTTAGAGTGTTTCCGATTATGGCATAAGGAGGTGAGAAATGGAAGGACCTTTGACGAATTCATCAGAGCTTGATAAACGATAGACAGAAAGAGACATACAATTTAATATTCATTATCAAATGCGAATAATGACCCCAGGGCAGGTACCTTCACCCG